GTCTTCCCAACGCGTTGTTTACGTGTGAAGACGTTGTAACACGTTTGTGTTGATTATTGCAATGGCTGATTTAGAAAGTTATGTGCGGTGTATTATTAAAGTTAAATATAGCAGAGGCTAAATATTTTGACAAACCTGGCATGCTTTAACAGCTATTTCGGAAAAGCACGATATTCTACATATTTTTTCTCCATCTCCCATTAAATCGGAATTGTAACACGTTTGTGTTGATTATTGCAATGGCTGATTTAGAAAGTTATGTGCGGTGTATTATTAAAGTTAAATATAGCAGAGGCTAAATATTTTGACAAACCTGGCATGCTTTAACAGCTATTTCGGAAAAGCACGATATTCTACATATTTTTTCTCCATCTCCCATTAAATCGGAACCCAGCTAACAAAAAAACGTCCCCAGAACGTCCCCTGAATGTCCACTGCGAACGTCCCCTGAACGTCTTCGTGTAGGGTTCTTTAAACGTTCGCAGGACGTCGTGGGGGACGTTCGCGGGACGTCCCGAGGGACCTTCGCGGGACGTTTAGAAAACTTTCGGGGACCTTTACGGAACGTTCACTAGAAGTCCTTTTAACATCTTAGACCCTTTTATAGTGTAGCATTAGTCTGATAACACAAAATCGAACAACCAAGGAACAAACACACAACAAGGAATATCAGGAAACAAAAATACTTTTATTTTCATAAACAAAAAAAGTGCGTGTGTGTGTGTTGCGTGTCTAGTTGCCAAGTTTCCAGCTGAAACGAAGTTCACATGTGTCTTCAAATGCGCTGGCAGCTGTGTGTGTGTGTGTGTGTGTGTGTGTGTGTGTGTGTGTTTGTCGGTCAGCTGTGGGATTAATCCGATGGCAATTCTCCCCCTTTGGCCCTAAAACAACAAAATAAACATATTCAGTTATGATTTTATCCAAGTGGAATATAACGTTGTCTCATTTCAGCTACATTTAACGTTAGCTTCGTAGTGTTAGGCATAACGGTTATCAGCGGTACATTGCGGACAACTTCAGCAAACGTTTTAAAAGGTAACATTTTCATATAATTTAAAGACGGACAGTGGTTAAGGTAACTAATTTATAATAACCTAAAAATTAAAAATACCTTTAGACAGACGACGGACAGAGAAAACACAATAAGGCTGCGTCTGAGGAGGACCGTTAACTGTCACTACGCTACGCAGCTGAGCGTTGCCATGGATACAAACCATAGACTGTGATACAAACCGCGTACATAAGGAATGACGTCACTCGCTTAGGTGCATTTGATCATATGATTTGATCGTCACTTGCTTGTTTCTCCAATTTTTTTTTTTTTTGTGTGTTATTTGATCTGCATGTGCTATCAATAATTAGAACAATATTTTTCCTAAAATATATTATTTTTAATAAAACCAGTCACCTTCGCCTGACCAACAGTTTGACAGGTAAATGTTAAGGATACTTTTATTTGTCTTGCCGTGTTACTTTCCACTTTCTTTCCAGCAATTTTTCATTCTTCACGTTTTCCTTGGCTGCATTCATCATTTGAAGTCGATGCATTCTTTTAGAGCTCCTGGGATTCAACCTCTTCGTGCATGTGGAATAGCCTTTATAAATTGTAGCTCATATTCAATTGAATCAATTTTCATGTTTTTGATGTTTAAATTATAACGGGTGAAAACAGACTCGTGGTTTTATTACATCTTTAATTAGTGATATAATTTACATGAAGTAACATGAAAGTTATTATCTTAACATTAAAACACTAACATTTTTAGCATGAACTTAATTTTACAATTAATGCAAATATTTGCATTTATATTTTAGTTTAATTATTCGTTTGTCTGAGTTGCAAAGTGTCGTTGATGATGGCAAACGCATGGGCGACTGGATTTTGCAAGTGTTGTCATGGAAATGCCAGGTGAGGGACGAAATAGGGACGTTCGCAAACTGGCCCGGACAAATGTCCTCAGAACGTCCGTCAGCGAACGTTATAAAATGGACCAAATGCGAACGTCATCGGAATGTCCGTCAGCGAACGTTACAAAATGGACCAAATGCGAACGTTATCGGAATGTCCTTCAGCGAACGTTACACAGCGGACCAAATGCGAACGTCATCGGAATGTCCGTCAGCGAACGTTACAAATGGGACCAAGTGCGGACGTCCTCCGAACGTCCGATCGGGAACGTTAGCTACAAAGCGGACCTAATGCGGACCTAAGGGGACGTTTGAAACGTCCGGGGGACGTCCCTTGTTTGCTGGGAAGGTTCAGGAATAGATCTAATTTCGAAATGTGTCTTATTTGCTTATTTAATAGAAATAGGTACGCTAAGTTACCATATTCAAATGCAGCGAAAACTGCAATCAGTATCTGCTTTGCCTAAATATAAAAATCATAGGCAATTAATTATACACTCACCGGCCACTTTATTAGGTACACCTGTCCAACTGCTCGTTAACACTTAATTTCTAAGCAGCCAATCACATGGCGGCAACTCAGTGCATTTAGGCATGTAGACATGGTCAAGACAATCTCCTGCAGTTCAAACCGAGCATCAGTATGGGGAAGAAAGGTGATTTGAGTGACTTTGAACGTGGCATGATTGTTGGTGCCAGAAGGGCTGGTCTGAGTATTTCAGAAACTGCTAATCTACTGGGATTTTCACGCACAACCATCTCTAGGGTTTACAGAGAATGGTCCGAAAAAGAAAAAACATCCAGTGAGCGGCAGTTCTGTGGGCGGAAATGCCTTGTTAATGCCAGAGGTCAGAGGAGAATGGCCAGACTGGTTCGAGCTGATAGAAGGGCAACAGTGACTGAAATAACCACTCGTTACAACCGAGGTATGCAGCAAAGCATTTGTGAAGCCACAACACGCACAACCTTGAGGCGGATGGGCTACAACAGCAGAAGACTCCACCGGGTACCACTCATCTCCACTACAAATAGGAAAAAGAGGCTACAATTTGCAAGAGCTCACCAAAATTGAACAGTTGAAGACTGGAAAAATGTTGCCTGGTCTGATGAGTCTCGATTTCTGTTGAGACATTCAGATGTTAGAGTCAGAATTTGGCGTAAACAGAATGAGAACATGGAACCATCATGCCTTGTTACCACTGTGCAGGCTGGTGGTGGTGGTGTAATGGTGTGGGGGATGTTTTCCTGGCACACTTTAGGCCCCTTAGTGCCAATTGGGCATCGTTTAAATGCCACGGCCTACCTGAGCATTGTTTCTGACCATGTCCATCCCTTTATGGCCACCATGTACCCATCCTCTGATGGCTACTTCCACCATGTCACAAAGCTCTAATCATTTCAAATTGGTTTCTTGAACATGACAATGAGTTCACTGTACTAAAATGGCCTCCACAGTCACCAGATCTCAACCCAATAGAGCATCTTTGGGATGTGGTGGAACGGGAGATTCGCATCATGGATGTGCAGCCGACAAATCTGCGGCAACTGTGTGATGCCATCATGTCAATATGGACCAAACTCCCTGAGGAATGCTTCCAGCACCTTGTTGAATCTATGCCACGAAGAATTGAGGCAGTTCTGAAGGCAAAAGGGGGTCCAACCCGTTACTAGCATGGGGTACCTAATAAAGTGACCGGTGAGTGTATAGTAGGCTAAAATGTGCTTACCATTTATATCAGACAAATTGATATCAAATACAAAGCCTACATGTCTACTTTATGATACCCTTAAGAGTGTAATGTAGGCTAACCCTGACTTAATTTCAGGAGTAATAATTAGAATTGTATATAGTTTAAATCAATTATAACTTATAGTTATATGATTGTTAACTGAAATATAATGTAGGAGGAACAAATAAATAAATGTGGAAGAGGAATAATTCGAATAAGATGTATAATAGAATTGGCCAATGAGACTGAGAAATAGAAAAGACTAAGAAATACAAAGACATTAATTAACAGCCTACCACTAGCCTACAGTTAAAATAGATGAGTCTGGCGTTTGAAACATTAGAGTTATGAAATACAGAGAAAATCACAGCTTTTTCAGTTCATCACTCAGAAAGACTAGCCTACAACACCTTTCTTGAAAAGCTTATTCAATGGCTTTTTGGATGCAGGATGCAGGAAATGGTTGAGTATTATTTTAACATATCTGTATTTAGTGCCTTTCATGTCCATTTATAGTCTTTACACATCAGCTTGAATACTTGCATGGCTAAAAAACTGCTAATTTCAAGACATTGACGTCACGTCAGGTCTTCACGTGGGTCAACCCGCTCGGTCAGACGTTCAAAAGTACAAGACGTTCGGATAGACGTTCGGATAGACGTTCGATCGGTCGGTCGGTCGGTCGAATATGGCGAGTATTTAGTGCCAAATCATGGATTACCAGGAGAAGGAGAAGGAGAAGTCTACCCTGCCGTCGCCGCCAGAACGTGTAGATTTTTTAATGGGATTGATTGGGACTGCAGACGGGAGACCAGCGGCGACGTCACAGGAGGAACGTCTTCCGGTGGCGACGTCACGGCGACGTATATTAGAATTCCAGTCAAAATAACGCCTACTAACTATGGCGAGTATTTAGTGCCAAATCATGGATTACCAGGAGAAGGAGAAGTCTACCCTGCCGTCGCCGCCAGAACGTGTAGATTTTTGAATGGGATTGATTGGGACTGCAGACGGGAGACCAGCGGCGACTTGGCGGCGACGTCACAGGAGGAACGTCTTCCGGTGGCGACGTCACGGCGACGTATATTAGAATTCCAGTAAAAATAACGCCTACTAACTATGGCGAGTATTTAGTGCCAAATCATGGATTACCAGGAGAAGGAGAAGGAGAAGTCTACCCTGCCGTCGCCGCCAGAACGTGTAGATTTTTGAATGGGATTGATTGGGACTGCAGACGGGAGACCAGCGGCGACTTGGCGGCGACGTCACAGGAGGAACGTCTTCCGGTGGCGACGTCACGGCGACACATATTAGAATTCCAGTAAAAATAACGCCTACTAACTACACTGCAAAAAGTGAATATGGGTGTAAGTTGGATAACTAGAATTATTTGAGTCTATTTACTTCGTATTTCTGCTTTCCTAATCGTAATTGATTATTGTACACTCATTCAACTTGAACGCATAGAAATTCACAGACACTCAAATATCTCACTTTCACCCAAAGTATAATTTCCCTTTAAGGACCTCCGCGTCAGACGTTTTTTTTTCTGACGTCATGACGCACGAGCCTGACTGGAACTTCTGCTCAACCGCCATTTTCTTTTTCTCTCGCACTCGGATGAATAAGGTAGGTTGGAAGTTTGTTTTAATTAATATATTCGAATATGCAACTTTTGGACGTGTGTTTTAGTTGTTTATGAGTTAATTAATGTTGTTTGTGAACATGAATACTAACGCAATCGTAGGCCTACGTTTGCGAAATAGCGTTAACGTTACTGAATATGTAACTTATACAGGATGTGGTATTTACTCGTTTGTTTTATAAAAATGTGTTCATTTTGGATCTTGGAACTATGTGTAATAAAATAATTTTAAAATTGATGCCTCCTTAACCGTCTGTGCCCGCGCGAGATATTGGAAATGCTTTGGGCGGGAAGTGCTCGGGGAGCGGGACTAAATGCTCAAATTTGAATTCCTGCAGTATAATATTGAGTTTGCTTTTAAAGTAATGTTTGTCTGTTCTTTTATTTGTCTTTGAAACGTTAGCTCTGATTTATTCATCGACTTTTTTTCGCCCAAAATGATGTTGAAAGTCTGTGATAAAAGTCATTGGGTGTGTCTCAATCAGCTCCCTAGTTCGGTAATCAGGGCACTGATCAGGGAGTCAGCACATTGACTGATTCCCTGATCAGTGCCCTGACTAAGTTACTGAACTAGGTAGCTGTGCTTAACGCTAGCTTCATTTGCCTAGCTCGAGGTGTTTCATCCAGAAAAAAAAATTCAGGGTTTTCTTTAGTAGAAAATTATGATTTTTTTGTAGAAATAGTAGTATTTTCACAAATAATTAATTCCTTGACCTGTAGCAAACCATTTTCTACCACTTAAGTTAAATACTACAACATTTTTCTCCCCTTAGGACCGAAAGCGTTTTACATGTTTTACGACTGAGGACACACCTTGCTATAACGTTACATGGTAAGTCATTTCTATTAATTTAAGCAATTTCTAATTTCTTCTATAATTGATAATAGATTATATGAATTACTAATGTTGGATATGTTTGAATAAATTCCATCTAATGTTGTCTAATGTTATTGACTTGCATTTTATCCTAATTAAGAATTTTCAAACTAAAATTGGCATTAACTCACCCTTATGACATCCCGAATGCATGTGCCTTTTTTTGATTTTCAGAAATATCTCTTTTGTTAGTTTATACAGTGTAAACCAATTTTGAAGCTCGAAATGATTATATGGCGTGACATGTATTGTGCATGTAAAAGGTGCACAAGTACTGGCTGATTTAATATGAAAAAGACCAAATTTAAACCGTGTTTGTGCCATTATTATATAAATAAGTGGCATCTTCTGAGCCTACTTATCCCAGATTTCTTCTTTTCCAGTTTAGCTTTCCAATAATATATCACCTTATAGTACTGCAAGAAAATACTGCACCTTAATAGAGAGCGTGATGGTGTTGCCAGGAACGTTTATATATTATACCGTATTTTCCGCATTATAAGGCGCACTTAAAAGCCTTTAAGTTTCTCAAAAAAGGACAGTGCGCCTTATAATGCGGAGCGCCTTATATATGGATGGAACACACGTTCACCAAGACGGGGAGACAGCGCCGGGCGACTTACGCCACTATCTGCCAATGGATCGTGGATGCCTGGGCTGATATATCAGTCTCAACTGTGATCCGAGCTTTCACGAAGGCAGGAATAATCTCTTTATTCAGCCAGCTCACATACCCGTATTTACTTCCGGTTGTTAAGAGGCTAAAAGCAGGTTTAAAACAGGTTGTCCCATTTAAGTCAACAGGGTGCAAATTTTAAAAAGAGGATAACACGGTGTAGGCAACACTGGTTTTTGTCGTTCTTATCTGTACTGACAGCACTCCAAATTTACAAAAAATGAGCTCAATGTTAAAATTGACCGGAGTTCTCCTTTAACGTTTGAACAACGTTACCATGGGAGTGAACGGAGTTGTCAGAACGCTTAATAAAGTTTCACTTTATCTGACTGATTTGTTGACATCTAGCACATGTAGTGGATGCATTAACGCAAATCCAGTCAAACGTTTGACTGCAGTATCTTATGCGCCTTATAATCCGGTGCGCCCTATATATGAAAAATGTTCTAAAATAGGTCATTCATTGAAGGTGCGCCTTATATTCCGGTGCGCCGTATAGTGCGGAAAATACGGTAATATAAAATGATTTATTACAGATAATTATAAATTAGGCCCTATGTAAAATGGGACCTGTCTGAAAAAAAACTTAAAGGTGCTTGTTTTTTTGTTTTAGTTTTTTTTACCTTTAAAATTCTGTTCAACATTCACGTGCATTGGGCCTCATTCATGAAACTTTTGTAAATATATTAAGTAAATATATTTGAGTAATTTGCTTGTAAAATGGACCTTCATGAAAACTCTCCTGGATTCGCAAATGCTTCGTAAACATTAGATTTGATAGTTAAATGTGTATGTTAATGAATTCCATGTTGAGACGTTCGTCTGTTATTGAGAGCCTAAGTCCCTCCCCTTCCGGTTGACCACCATGGGACCTTAGTTCGGAAAAATATTGTATGGTAGTCAATGGCGAGAGACAACAAATATTTTGATCCCGTTTGAATTGTGCCCTGAATTACACATATGATGTTTGTCAATTTAAAAGATACATTTTTTAAAGTCAAGAAAGTCGCAGTTTGATGTAAAATGTTGAGGTATAAGACTGTGAAAATACGTAATTACAAAGACTACAAACCCAAAGGGAGAGCATGTGACGTCTTACCTTTTTTCTCAATGAATGAAGCTAACTTTACTGAAGCTAACGTCTGTCATCTTTTCTATAGTCTAACGTTATAATCGTAACGTTACGCCGTCATGTGTGTTTTGTACCAGACTGCACACACACAAGCTTGGTGACGTACATAGTGCGAGACGAGAGATGTAGTTCATTGAGCGATTTTCACATAAAACTAAATGTTACTCTTCTGTTTTATGACAAACTGCGACTTTCTTTACTTTCATAGTTATCTTTTAAATTGACAAACATCATATGTGTAATTCAGGGCACAGTTCAGACGGAATAAAAAGATAAGTTGTCTCTCGCCATTGACTACCATGCATATTTTTTCCGAAATAAGGTCCCATGAGCCGGAAGCAGAGGGGAGGGACTTAGGCTCTCTATAGGACAACTTAGTTTGAATAAACGAGCAGACACTGATTAGCTTGCTCTACTTTTTATTTAAAATAATCAGCAAGACAACTAGAAGTGAATGTGCTTTCCATTAAATGAATCACTCACAGTAAACAAATCCTTAACAAAAAAAACTTTGCAGTGAACTTTGCAATGTAGACGCGCAAACTGGGTGCCGGTGCGGTGAGACATATATGCTCGGGCAGATTCGGCTTGAAGTCGTTCATCCTCGGATGCGGCGCAGCGCGCGCTGTTACAAAAAAAGCTGTGCACATCGGCAAGCGAAATGGGGTCTTGCACCCAAAGCGCACGACTGCCCACACCGCAATGACGTCATTTTTGCCACGCACACTTTCGCGCTCGTACGTGTCAGCGCGCGCTCTGATCGGTAAAGGGGCAGAGATTTCAGACCTCCGTTTATTAAGGAGATCTCCAAGATTTCTCTTCTTGGGGAGGGGGTGGTGCACAGACCTCTCCCGAATCATCTCCAGCATTAGCAGCCTCCGTAGCACCACTAACTCCGCCTCCGTTTCCCTCGTAAGCTGATATTAGTATTTAAATATTCTCTATGATAAAAAATGTTTGTAAAAAATATTTTAATAACATGGTTTTTGCGGTTCTAATGACGGTGTTCAACTATAACCGTCGGTCTCACGGTTAAATAATAACAAATGCCCGGAATCATAGGCAAATCAGTGCTCGATCACGCGAGTGATGATCACGCAGTGTGAATGATCAAAGATGCGATCTTAAGAGTATCGCAGATGAGTCGCAGATGCCTGTGAGATATTTGGCATGCTAATTATCTGGACCTGTCGGTGATTAAAAAAAATGACATTATCGATGACCTACAGCCCAAAAAGAGAGCAAGAAACAGGGCAGCGGGAGGTTCAGGGAGGAGATATAGACTAGAATATCAGTATTTTAATAGATATATTTACAATTATATCAAGCAGAAATAAAGCATAAACATTTGCTAGACCAGACGCAACAGCAGCTCAATTCCAGTTTCGCGCGAGAACTCCGGTTTGACACACGCGTGATCTCGCGTTGTTTCCTTGTCACTTCAAATACAATAGGCACAGTTTGGATGACATGATAGTGAGTTTTTGCCAGAAAACTTACTTTAAGTAAAGAGTAATTTTTATTTTTCATTCCAGGGTTGCACTTAATGTGGAAATGTAAAGACTGTGGGGGGGTCTATACAAGAAGATCTGAACTGCTCAAACATTACAAACTTAACCACAAGCATTATGGACGCGGATCCACTTATCCATGCACTTATTTAAACTGTGTATGCAGATTCAAGACTTGGAATGCTTAATAAGCCATTTATCCAGAAACCACCCTGTCCAAAGGTTACCCAAAGAACCCCTAACCACTTTCAGCTATCATATTTGTTTTCATCAACTTTCAGCCGAAAAGGATTATTTTCAACACATCTTTCACCATCTGAAAAACAAGGAGACCATAACATGTATGTACAAGGACTGTACCTACAAAACTAATGTTTATGTGAATTTTAAAAGTCACAAACATAGAAGACACTCTGGAGCAAGTGATTTCAAGCATGGGATTGTTGAAAACAAAATTTTAAACTCTGGCAGTGAGTCATTCAGAAGTATTTCATGTGATATTTCAGATGATGAAATACCTTGCAGCGATGAGCATGTTGACCCTGCAATTGACAGTGATCCTGTGAACTTGGAAAAAGAAATAGAACTTAAACTTGCTTTGGTCCTTTTAAAATTAGAAAACATCTATCTTGTATCTAACACAGCCATCGATGAACTGCTACAAGAGTTGAGCTATTTGATTGGCTCTGTATCGCTTCCTATCACACAGAAGACTTTGACTGAAATATTACAGGAACATAGTTGTGAGTTTGACCAATCAATCGTTGAAAAATTAGCTAACGCATTGT